TGTATTAAGTTGTATTTGTTATGTTGCAATCCATTTTAATTATTCTTAAGGAGCTTAAATTGTCTCACCTTTGGCCAGTGGGAACCAATTCAAGTTGGCTTTTTCACATTTATCCTCAAGTCCTTTTACATTACCCCAGTAATCTTTGATAGTTTTCATGATTTATAGTATGATAGGATATTTTAGGCTTACCTTGTACATTTCCTATCCCCAAACTAGAATCAGCCTTCGCTTCAAGGAATCTGTTTCAGGGGCAAATGATGTTTACTGTCAGTAATTGGATACATAAGTATGTGCTTGTTGCTACTGCATAGTCCCTGTTTTTAGGCCTTTACAGTGGGCAAAACTAAGAAATACATACATTTTTAAATGTAAAATATTATAGTTCATTCTGATATATCCAGTTCAAATTCATGATCACAGAATTTGTATGTAACTCACTGATTTTACATCTGTTCTTTTTTGTCCCACACCCAAACACCAACTTAATTATCCATTTGCTTTTTCTCAGAGTATGCATGCAATATAATTACAAGAATGTGCTCGTGTGTGCATGCTCAGTTGCTTTAGTTGTGTCTGACTTTTTGCGACCCCATGGACTGTAGTTCATCAGGCTCCTCCAATCCTGGGATTATCCTGGCAAGAACACTGGAGTGGGTTGCCATTTCTTCCTCAGGGGATCTTGCTGCAGACTCAGGAGATTGAACCTGTGTCTGCTGTGGCTCTTGTATTTTAGGAGGATTCTTTACCACTTGAGCCACCTAGGAAGCCCCTAATTACAATACCACCACCAATTAATACCACCACAAAACTGTGGCTGATGATAACAATTAAAGTGCTTGTTTTGTCATTGCTTATTTAAAGTTTATTTCTTAGTTTAAATCCTATGAGGAAAGTACTGTTAAATTAATGTGTTTGAATATGGTTTTTAAAAATTCCTGGGACTTCCATGGTAGTCTACTGGTTAAGACTCTGTGCTTCCAATGCAGCGAATGCAAGTTCAATCCCTGGCCGGGGAACTAAGGTCTCACGTGCTGCATGGTGTAGCCAAAAAAAAAAAAAGACAAGATAAACTACTATGTTTAAAGTCACTTAGAATATTCTCTGTATGGTTATGCCACCAACTCCATATATTATTAAGTTCACTCATTTCATTTAGATGGGATCACTTTTAAATTTTAATGTATTTCTGTTTTATAATTTGCAAATTATACTTATATATATTCTGTGTTTCTGAAATCATATTTTTATGAGAAAACTTCCTGTTATTCCATCTTTGCTCCTCTGTTCCCTTCCTTCTTACAGGTAACCATTTTTAAGGGCTTCCCTGGTGGCTCAGATGGTTGGGAAGATCCCCTGGAGAAGGGAATGGCAACCCACTCCAGTACTCTTGCCTGGAGAATTCCATAGACAGAGGAGCCTTGCAGGCTACAGTCCATGGAGACACAAAGAGTTGGACACATCTGAGCCACTAACACTATGTGTTTTAAGGTTTTGACTTTTCATTTAATTTAAAAAGTGAGATAGATGAGTGGTAGTATGCCATAGATGCTTTTTTCCACTTTGATATTTTTACTTAACAATATATACTGGAGTTGACAGTGAATTACTTTATATTGTATATATTCTTTATTCCCTTTTAAAAATTGCATAGTACTTCACTGTATGTATGTACCATAATTATTCAACCATTTCACTATGATGGCCTTGTGAGTTATTTCCATATGTTAGCCTAAAACAATGAAAAACCAGTTATTTTACCAGCAAAAGGGGGTTTCTTAGGGAGCAACACAGAATTGCAGTCTGGGAGATGCAACTGTGTGAACCACAAGCAAGTTCAACAAAGCAAAGGGAAGAAAATTCTTATAGAGGAGATGGGAGAGTCAGGAGAGATGCCCATAAAAAGTCCATTGGAGGAAACTGAGAGTGCAAAGTAGAACGGCTCTTTTGACCGAGTTGAGACAGTCCCATTGGCTGAGCTGTTGCCAGGCAAGGAAGAGATCTCTTCCTCTTGCTGGCATTTGTAGTTAAAACCATATTACTTCCAGCTGGAGATGCATGGTATGTCTCTTTCTGTTGGGATCTGTGTGGACTTTAACTGGTACATGGGTGACAGCTCCCTCTTTTGACCTTCAGACTACATTTTATTGAGGCTTTTGTATTAATTTTCATAGAAACTTTTGCTGTAAGAAACAATGCTTCAATGAAGCATTCTTTTTCTCATGTTGGTCAGATTCTTGGAAGTGGGATTTGCCAGAAAGAAAATAAAATGTATATGTAACTTTGCTAGATTCCATGAACATCTCTTTTGTTGGGCTTTTTCTATTTTTCACTCTAACAAGCAATATTTGAGAGTGTTCCTTTTCCCCACAACTGCCTAACAGGCTGTGCTGTGAAAATTTTGAATTTTTGCCAATTTGTTGGGTGAGACATAGTATCTCAGTGATTTTAATTTGCATTTCTCTTATGAAGAAGGTTGAGAATGTTTCTATTTAAGGGGCATTTGCATTTCTTTTTCTGTGAAATGTCTGTTCACATCTCTTGCCATTTTTCTCTCAGGGTGTTGGTGTTTTATTCATTTTTAGATACTCTTTATATGTAGGGTTATTAAATTGTCTCTTATATGTTACAAATGTTTTTCATATTTTCACTTCATCTAGTTTTGACCATTGCTAGGAACATTTTCCCTACTCTTCACTTACAGAGGAATTGACCCATAATTTCTCCTAGTACTTGAATGATTCAAATGTTTATATTTAAATATCTGATCTTTTTGAAACTTATTCTTGGAGCACATCCAAATTCATCTTTTTCCTTATGACTACTCAGTTATCTCAACACCACTTATGAAAAAGTCCATCTTTACTGCTTTGGGATACAGTTTTTATCTATGTTGAATTTCCATATATATGCACTTGGGTAATTTCTCAACTTTCTATTTTGTTTATTGGTCTTTTTTTTTTTCATGTGCCAATGCTACCATTAAATTATTAAGCCTTTATAGCATATTTAATATCTGATATGACACCTCCCCCCCACTTTCAATGTTCTTTTTCAGGGTTTTCTAGGCTTTTTAAAAAATTCCAAATGAATTTTATAATTAATTTATGCTGGTAGCAGCATTCTTTTTTTTCTGTTTTGGCCGCATGGCTTGTAAGATCTTAGCGCCTCCACCAGGAGGAACCTGTGTCCCCTGTAGTGGAAACATGGTCTCAACCACTGGACTGCCAGGGAAGTTCTATAAAACAGTGTTCTGAATCAGCAATGTTTAGTGGAAGCACTATCAAGAGGTTTTTTTAAAAAAATAAACACTTGACCCCACCCAGACGTAGTGAGTCTCTAGATACTGGGCCTGGGTATGCACATTTTGAAAAAACTGTGCAGTTGATTTTAATAATCCCATTTAAAAATGACCTATAAAGCATAAATTCAAGTTCTAGTTCCAGATTAACTTGTTATTTGTTTTCCCTTATGTGTTCTGTGTTCTGGACCTTACTAAACACAGCATTTGCCCAGCTCCCTAGGCCAGAAATATAGTTTTCCTTAATCCTTCCTTTTCTTTAACTCGGTTTGTCACAAAACCTACATTTTACTTTGCTTTACACCTCCAGTACCACTGGCTTTTACCATTTTCTCATGGTCTTTTAAGATAACTCTTCATAATATAGTCTATCATCTGCACTATCTATACAGTTAATTTTTTTCCTAAAAATAATGTTAATCATGTTACTTCTTTGCTGACCTTTGTTGGCTTTCAGGATAAATTCAACCAAGGCACAGAAGGCCTTACACTCACAGGTCCCAGCCTCCATTTCCTCCTTAGTCCCTGTTACTCTACAACTCACACTGAGTATTCCTATTACACTGAATTTCTGACTACTGGAAGGACATCAGATCTGGTAGCTTTTACAATTTAAATTTATGGTTTCTTTCACTTAGAATTTGCTCCTGCCTTCTTTGCCTGGTAAGCTCTCAGTATTTGAGATGCAGTTCAAATGGCCTTTCTTTGATAAAGCTTTCATATAGACTCTTAGTCAGAATTAGTAGATCCATCCTCTTTATTCTAGCAAAACTTTATTACTTGTATCTTTATAATGTGATTTTTGTGAGTCTCTGATCTCCCAGAAATTTCACACTTTCAATATCAACTAGAATGTGAGCTCTCATGTTTTTTCCAGCCTCTAGCAGAGTGCGTAGCATATAGCAAGCACTCAAATGTTTGTTCAGTGAATGAAAACAAATAAAGCTTCATTAGTCTGTACTGATTGAAACAGAAACAAGACACGACAGTGGCCAGGTGGCTCTACTATTAAGATCTCTCATTCGTTTGGCTGTCTGTAGTTCATAGTCAGCCTAGACTTTGTTCTCTGCCCATGACAGTTCTTACTCTCTGAAGGTCCATGTAACTGAAAACTACCGTAGGATACCTGTCCATCTTTATCTCCTCCTGTTTATGAAGTTCTGTCTTGGTCCTAAGAACAGATAATGCTTTATAAAAAAAGTACAATTTAGTCTATAGTGGTAGAGTAATTTATGGTACTAATTTAGATTAATTATTGGTATGAATAATTAGTTTAGGTGTATATCACATATAGGATTTTACTTATATTGGAAAAGATCTATTTGATCATTAAATTCTTTTCTAATTCTGTACATGATCAAGTACTAATTTAGATGATAAACTTAAGTAGAAGACTAAGTGCTATGGGAGCCAAATTATTTTATAACTTATAATTATTTCCCACCCCCCAACTCTATGACTATGTTGTAATCTTTGAAATAATCAAATATGGTAATGCGAAAAAGGGAAAGAATCATATTTAAAAATAATTTAACCATAACTTCTTAGTAAGTGGGTATCAAATACTAGAGTAATCCAGTTTAAAATTTTTAATGTTTCATTATTTTTAAAATCAGTCTTAAAGGTATAGATTAAATTGGATAATAATATTATATTTGAATTACCAAATAACACCAAATTATTTTAAACATATATTTTAATATAAAAATTGGAAGTTTTTATTAAAATACAGAAATTCATTTTATTTTATCAATCTATGAGTTTTTCACTTATCAACTGTATTTAAAAAATATTTTTCAAACTATGTAAAGAGCCCTTGATAATAAAAATATAGTTTTTAAGTATTTTAAACACACCAAAATCAAATTCCTTATTATTACATTTACCCTTTATTCCAATCTTTGATGATACTCTTAATTTTAAGTTACTTCATTATTCAACCAAGAGAAAAAAACTTTGTGTTATATATGGCTTCAACTTGAAATTATACATATATATGTAAGTTAGTCACTCTTTTTAAGTTAGCCACTTTCATTATCTGTGTACCATTTTTTTCTATTGATTAGGAATATATTAAGAATTTTAATTACTAAATAAGTTTTCTTATGTTAAACAATTTTCCCCACAGGTGCTTTTTTGTAAAAACTAGGCAATGTAAATTACATATTCTTATGAAACATTGTCTGGAAAGCCAGTGTGCCATCTTCAAAGCCAGTATTATTATTTCAGCATTTTATTGGAACCAAACTTTGAATTATGCTTTGCAGTCTATTTTAAAAGTATTTAAGTAAGTAAAAGACACATTCTTAGTTATCTAAGTTATTCAAGTGTGCCACAACTTTATTTCCAAGGAAATGTTTTAAGAGAATTCTTATATGAAAATTGAAACAATTTGAATCTAGCTATTTCTTTTTATCCTTTTGAAATTGAATATTTTCAGCAGTAATGCTAATGATTAGACAAAATCTCTGAAATGGATTGTTGAAATATTAAAATACTTTATTTATACATAGAAATACTGTTTTGAGTATGACCCCTATTATATAAAATGCATCAACTTTTTACATGTTGCTTTGCTAAAGTAATATCTAAATGCTAGCTTTCCACACTTATACTGGAATCTGTATTTTTCTTTAACATTGTTAGTAAATTCTGATATTGTGGAACTGTTGACCCAGTCATACATGTACAGAACTTGGCCTTTGAGTTAATTAAATATGAGTTAATAATATATTATAAGGAAATTATTATCCTTATTACAGTTATTAGGTAGTTACTCAAATTATAGCTTCAAAGGAATGCAGAGCATGGAAAACTCAGGATTAAATTATGCATTTGAACCTTAGGCCAGCTTTTACTGTGGAGACAGTTTTCTGCTAAGACCAGAATTGTATGTCATTGAAATTAAATGCTTTTCTGGGGATGGAAGGTTCCAGTTTTTAATGAAATTACTGAGTGTGGTGTAGTGAAATGATTAAAATCTGTATTCCGGGAATGTGGCAGGGAAAAAAAATCAATAAGTGCTAGCACAGCTTTGCTGCTCAATGTGAATCCTGAGAATGAAATAAACTATTACAAAAATAATAATTAAAAACATATCAGCACATTAATTTATTTAGCATCAGTCTCCTGAGACATCATCTTCACTAATTTTTAGCATACATTTTACTATGTAATGAGCAGCCTTCTTTTCAGATATCCCTATTAGACAGGCAGTATTTCTGCCCTTCCCCCAGTGCTCCTGCATTGCAATCATTGTACTTGCACTTATTATGTTACAAATGACCGAGGTAAGGCTGACATTCTCAGTGCATGCAAAAAGACCTAGTCTGCCAAGCTTTTTTTTTTCCCCTAATGAAGCAGCTTTGTGAAATCTCCCCATGTGTTAATACTAATGAAGATCCTCCAGCACAATTAAAATCACAGCCAGTAGCTGAAGAGGAAACATAAAACAATAGCATCTTTTAAGATACATTTATCCACATATGCATGTACAAAATATACATATATGGTCAAATTATTTTTCTATAGGTTGCCTTTCACTTACTCTTCATCCTGAAAATTAAATTATGCAGTTTTTAAGTTATATGAACTTTTGGGACTTTTAATGTGTTCCAGAGGTAAAACACTACCTCAATGAAAAAAAAATTATTTATCTTCTTTGGTAATAAAGCGTTATCAAGGATAAGGCCTTTTAAAAAATTTTTTTTTAAGGAAACTACAGGGTGGTGTGTTGTAGGAGGGAATGGGGTGTACTTCACCTTTAGTTTAACTTTATTGGTTTCAGGATGTTGAAATTGGTGGAGGAAAATGGAAGGGTAAAAAATAGGAAGTTAGAAGAAATTGTGGGGTAGACAAATTGTATACCTCGTGTGTAATTTAAAGATGGAGCAATAGGCTACCTAGTCTTAACTTGATTTTTTAAGTACTCTAATTCCTACAATTAGCTATCCTCTCCCACCTTTTTTGCCTTCTCAGAAGTGTGTGTGTGGGGGGACTATTGAGGTTACCTTTTGCAGTTTTAACGTATAACTTTAAAATGACTTATTATTTTAACGTTTTATTTAAATTTTAACTCAGTACATAAACATTACAGAAGCTTAACCTGCCCGGGTTAGGGCAGTAGCATTTTTATCCTGGGACCATTCTGCGTACTGCTTTTTATTTTGAGTTCCAAACATATTACATTTAGTTGACTTTTAGATTTTAACCAAATTCTGAGTTTACAGACAAAGTTTAGGTGGACATGGTTAATCTACTCTCCCTATTCGCCCGTGTACTTTTTTTTTTAATTACGTTTTCAATCCTATTTTCTGTCTTCTCTACTTTTAAAAGTAAAACAAAACATTAGAGTTCCTTAACTTTTTCCTGGAACAAGAATCGGTGCAAACTCAAAGCTACAGGATTCTTGGGAGGAAGAAGCCACCCCCTCCCTCCCTTGGCTACTTTAGGAGCTGATGGGTCATTTATTATTGGAACTGAAATGGTATAAACAATTCTCTCTCTTTTTTCCCTTGTTAACAGCAACTTTCATTGTTAGAGAGAGGAGAGAGAGAGAAGCCTTGTTGGTTGACGTCACTTGGTTCATGAAGCCTTCGCCTAGAAGTGAAGCTGCTGAACAAACCTTGAGAAGAATCATCTCCTGCTTCAATCTGCTGCTGGATAGGAACTAATCAGAGAGAGAGAGGCGGAAGACGGAGAAGGAGGGCGTCCAGGGCTTTGCCGATCACAAATCTCACCTCCACTCCAACTCTCCTTATACTTTTCTTGCAAAAATAATAATAGAAATAAGGAGGTGGTGGGGTTTCCAAAACAAAAATCGTAACCTTTAACCATCTGGGGAAGGCAAAAATCCCATCCACCGCAACTCTCAGTTCGAAAGTAAAGGTGAGTTTAAAATCCGCGGGTGTGAGGGGTGCGGGTGAAGATGAAAATTCCAAATATTGTAAAGCCGTTTGAAACCGAAAAAGAGAAGAAACTGCGCTCCAGCGAGTGGGTTAGACTCCGGAGTTGCTTATCTGGAGGCGCTTGCCCTGCCCGCCCTGCCCGCCCGGCCGCGGCTGTTTACCCTCGCCGGTCGGTGTGTCTCTTTGTTGTGCTGGCTGGAAGGCTGGGGTGGTGCTCGGGGTCCCGACTGCGGTTTGGGGGAGGAGGACGCGGAGATGCGCGGTCCTGGGTGGGAGGTGGGGAGTGCGGTCTCAGGAGAACGTAAACTTTATTCGTAGCCGCCAGTGCGGGACTTCGGTCTAGCAGGGCCGCGGGCCGTGTCTCCCCTGGCGTGGGCAGACGCTGCCGCCGCGAGTCCTCCTCCTTTGTGCCGGCCTCCCTGCTCGGCCGCCGGCGCTTCGCGTGTCCTTTTTCCTCCCTGCGGCTTCCAGCGCTCAGGTCGCCGCCAACAGTTTGGCTTCTCAAAAAAATCACCTCTGGCACGGCTGCGATCGCCGTTCCTACCGGGAATAACCGCTGCTCCCCCCATCCCCGCCGGGGTAGTTTCAAGATACCCCCCCACCCCCACCCCAGTCCGCCTACTGCTGCCCTTTTCTGCCTCCGCCCCCTCTTCCCTGTAGGACTGATAAGCTTGCGCCTGCCACCCCCCACCCCCAATTCGGGTCTCTTTTGCTCTCTCTCCTCGAGTAGCTTGGGGCTTGGGAGTTTACAGAAAGTGAGCTGGGTGGGGTGGGAGTAGGGGCAGGTGGAACTGGGAAAAAATCTGGATACCTGGAAAGTCTGTTTCAGTACGTAGAGATTAGAGGAGCACAGCTTTTCCTACAGTAATGTCTGTCTCCTAGCAGTTCTTCCCCGGGAGCTGCCTCCTGTTCTCAACTCTTCTTCGCTCTTTTAATCTTTTTGCTCCCCTTCCCCCCCGCCCACCCCTTGCCCTTTCGCGGCTCCTCTCCTCTTAAAGTAGTTCCACGAACCCCAGAACTGGGACTTGGGAAAGGAAGGAAATGTTTGGAGAGTCAGAACTGGCCTTGCTGTTTGGGAGATTTCCCCTTTTCTCTCCTTCTGTATTTATCTTTTGTGTGTTGCTTCCTTATAAAGAGAGAAGCAGCTGCAGTCCTTGGCCGAGTTGCTGAAATTTATCCCTTTGTGTATATTACAATATCCTCCATTTTTTTTTCCCTCTGCCCTCTAAACAACAAGCGTTTCGCCATCTTGGGCAATTTTTATTCCCAAGTCTCTCTCTCTTTTTTTAATTTTTATTTTTCAAGGACTGGGAGGAAAACTGAAAGTCAAAAAGTGTGTCTAGTTAAGATTCAAAGTTTAGGGAATGTTCAGGGGCCCAGTGACGTCATGTAAACTTTATGAAGAAATTTTACCAGGAGTAAATTTTTCGCTTAATTTTTTCCCTGTTTTAAGCGACCATGTGAAGGACCATGTAACTTACAGGTTAACGATAAGCTGTTCTTATTTTTGTGTCCTGCTCTGAAAATGAGCCCTCGGTGTCTGCACATTTTATGTTTTGTTAACAGGTGGAAAACTATGTGCGAAAAACTGGTGGAAACAGTGGCCTTTGGTATTTACGAGGCTTTTATGTATATATTTTTTATATTTTAAAGGATTTGAATATTTGCATGTTTCCTTTTTTATTTACTCCAATCCTGTAGGTTTTTCTTTAATCAGCTTGGTTAATATTTATGTATACTTATTTTAGATGACCTAGATCTCTTCTTGTAATTAACTGGTCTGTTTTTTTACATATTTCTTTGCATTTTGAAGATACAGCTTTCAAAAAAAGCTGGAGATACTGGATACTTTAAAAATATAGTAGCAGATATTAAGTAAAATGATTGGCGAACATATAGTGTTTAAAAGGCAATATTGATTTAAAAATATATTTTATAATCTCAAGCTATATGCTCTTTTATCAGCCATTATGAAAAGATAAACAATAAAAACTTGTGGTGTTTTAATTTGCTTGTCTAAAATAGTTTTTCCCCTCACTGAAGTTCGGTTGGTCACATGATCAAACTTAATGATATACTGACTGGTATATAAATAAGAGGCAATGCAAATTGAATGGGAAAGTGGAATTCTGTCTCCTATAGTCATTTTCAGTCAGCATATTTACTTCTCTTCTAACAAGGACATGAAACTGTCTGTATTTAATTTGCATTCTCTTTGTCTTCTGGGTTGGGGAAAAACATTGACTACCATTAACTCAAAAAAAAGCTAATAGAAACAATTCCAAGTACATTGAAAGATTTGTCTAACACATAAAAACTTAGGTTGTATGTGGTATGTTTCTATCTCTGTAGCAGTCTTATTTGATGTTATCTGCTATGCTATTTATTTAGAGATTTGCTTTATGTAAAACGCAATACAGAAAGCTTGACTGAATTGAATGTCTGACATTTATGTGAATCGTAGGTAGGTGAAAAATGTTTAAATAGTTAAAAGCACATAGAACAGATGGTTCTAAATTATACATGCAACAAAGGACTAGAAGATTTGGCAGATTATAAATGGCAAGCACAGTGGATAAGCAGTTTAAGAAAATGGGAGTTAAGTACGTTTGATGTCTCACACCTATTGTAAACACTGTACATATTGTCACTGTGCTGCATAATCAATAACTTCCACACATTGAGGCTCTTGTAAGTTTCAGATAGGAAAAAGCAGATTTTATAGATGTTTGAAATGAATGGTTGAATGTAAAAGTATTTAAAGCCTGTGATGATGAGTTTTTCTCTTTTTAAAGAAAATAAAACTATATGCTTTAAAATAGGAAATTATTTGTAAAAACTTAATGTTGTATTCATATGATGGTTTGGACAGAAATAGGAGTAGATACATATTTTGAAATACAGGGGATAGTATATTTGCTGTTATATGTTATACTAGGGCTGAACTGTAGCAGCATTTACCGTTTCAAACACTCTTGAACAATATTTTTAGACTCTTCAGTCTTGAAAATGCATTTATTAGAATACTGTTAGCGTAAGTTACTAAACACATTAAATGAAAGAAGGGCGTATGTTAGTAATACTTTTTGAGTTTGGTATGTAAAATAATAATAAGATTTTACTTGGTAAGTATAGTTTACTCTCAGTTTTTAAAATGGAACAATTTATATGTAGTTTTGCCTTTCTAGAAGAATCTGAGTAATATTTTGCATTTTCAAAAGATTTAAAATAACTTATTCAACTTGGCAGAAATTTGTTTTTATTTTTGTAAGCCATTTATTTAAAATGCATATGAGACTGTAATGGAAACCTTGGAGTTTTAATTCTGTTGCCCTCTTCCCCATCTCTTTGTTTGCGTGTTTATTATAGAGCTGCAGTGTAAAGGAGCAGATGTTTTGCCAAACATCCTGATGTGTTGCTTTTTCTTATGGGAGTGCATAACTGTTCCTTCTGATGCATCAACTTGACAGCTGGTTGATTTCATGGAACTGCTAAGAAGCCATTAGTGGTGTCATTGAATTGAAACAGAACAGTCACTCCCAGCTTGAACTGCAATTGTTAATGTCTTTGTTGCTACTTTTGTGTTACTATACAAGATGTAGGATATTACAGTTGCACAAAAGTTTAGTTTTTTGTCTTATCCCTTGAATTAGTCAAAGTATGTGATAAAATTTGATTACTTTTCAGTTTAGAGATTTATCAAAGAAAGATTTTGAGCTGTAGTTTGTGAGTTTTTGAACTAGTCCTGGCTAGAACTATCAAAGGAAGATAAGATTTAGCACAAAGTGATATGGTGATTTTGATCCCTGTAGGAAATAATTTTATCAAGGCTTAATGATTTTGAATAAACTTGATATTCTGAGGGATTAATTACCTTGTGAGGTTAAGAAATTTTTGATTCTATAGATATTTTATATCATGAGACTTTAAAAATATTGTGCTTTCATAAATGTTGACTTGTTCGATTAAACATTTCTTTAAACTTTTGTTATAGAAGATAATCAGAAGAGAGAATAGTTATTGACAAAAAGGGCAATATAGGGTTTAATTTTCTTTATGAGGAGGTAAAATAACATTCAGTAATTGACTAGCAGTCATTTAAGATTTTAAAATTTGAAATTATATTTTTGCTTTGCTAGTAACTTTTATTGGTAGTTTCAACTATCACACTGTGGTACTAAAATGGTGTCAGATCATCCCATTGGTGCCAAGGCATTTTCAGCTTTTTCTAATTACTTGCTTTTTTCTTTCCTTCAGTGGGAGAGGAGATAGGAGAGGGGGAGAATAAGAGTGATCATCTCAACAGCAGAAAACACATTAAAAAAAATTTGTGTAAAACTCTTAAGATGATGAGTTTAAGGATAAAAATGTAACTTATCACTATGTTAAAAGATATTTTCTAGTTCCAATATTTATTGATTTTTAATTTTAAAATCTTTCGACTAACAGTTTTTCAGAGCATGACATTTATAACATATTTAAAATAGTTTACCTTTAAAAGAAATTCTTAAAATGTGAAATTGATGATTAGGATAGATAATTTGCTGAGTTAAATCCTATTAAAAGGACTTCTTAGACAATATAAGCAAATTTAAACACTTATAATACACTGCTGAGTGATTCCTGAAATATGATTTCCTGAAATCATAAGTTTATGAAAATAGTTTTCTTTTAAATAGATCATACATTACTGAGACTAAAGGTAAAATATATGCTTAGGTAATAATAGTTACTTTTACATAACCTTTTGATATAATCATCATGCAGTTTCTTAAAATTATTCTATTACCTTAGCCTGTGATTCAAATTTTAAGAAATAGATTTACTCATAAAATATTTGTATCATGTCATATATTCATACAAACTAAATGGTAAATTGAGCTGTATATTAAATGTAAACTTTTTAAAAGGAATATCAGTGCTTAGCTCATTTTTAGAGATGATATAATTTTAATTGTAGTGCAAATAAGCATCCCAAAT